AACATGAAAATAGTGTACTCTCAACATCTCTCTGTRTAAATACAGATACACAGCCTCCAACAGAGCATCTGACCTATATTCTTCTGTTATTGCTACCAGAAGTCACTAAAAAATTGAGATACTTCTGCCAAAGTAGTACTTTGTTCCTGACATAAAGCACAGCCTGGAAAAAAAAAACATAAGGGAATATGTAAAATTTTTTTTAAAAAAAAAAAAAGGGCTCATCCTTTAATAACATATTAATAAACCCCACAGTATAATGACTTCGATAAATAGATATATCTTGCAGGATTTAACCACTGTCTGCTAATTATTACAAGGTATTTGTATCTTGCTTTTGAACATGCCACCTAATTCCAATTACCTTTGAGAGGATATGGTACTACCCAGCAGCATAAAATAAAAACTTTTGACCGTGCTATTGCAGAACGGTAGGATTCATAGCTTCTAGCTCAGTGCTCAAGCTGCTAAACTGCATGAAATTTCCCAGTAAATTGCAGAACTTTGGCTCGGCCCATGAAAATTTCTCATGCCACAGAAAAGCCCTGAAAAGTAATACCCATCAACCAAATACTACAATAACAAGACCCAACATTAGTCTGTGATTTTTAGATGAAGAGCTAACCTCGATGAACTTAGCAATATTCAATACTTCCTTGTTTTTGTCAATGCAAAGATTTAACTGTTTTTACATTTTTAATTTTAAAATGAAGTTTAGTCCAGACTTAAAAAAAAAAATAGAATGACCTCATTCTAAAGAGGAAACACCCTTCTTTTCTTTTTTGGTCAAAACAGCTGTTTGCTTTCAGCATCCCTTTTGCAAAATACCCTGCATGATAGTAAAGTATGAGTTGTTTGTGAGGAATAGATCAAAAAATATCAGTACCACTGCAAAAGAAATTTTTCCTTCCTACTGAGTTATTATCAATTATTATAAGTAATGAAAAGATAATGAAACGGAGGCATCTACAGTAGCTATTTCTACTGTGGGAACACAAATCAGAAAAATACAGTACATACAGGAACTGGCATTTAAAATCCACTCAGTTTAGTGGAAATATTTGCATTTAAAAAAAATACGCAGTGGACAATTACCTGCAACAAACTTTTAACTACCAGACAGTGCCAACCGATAAAACTGTCAGCAGAACTTGCACTCATTTAGAAAACGGTAACACTAAGGGTAAACTTTCTGTCATGACAAAATGTCTTTGCTCGTCATAACCTATAGAAATTTGTGATTGAATTAAATCCTCCTCTTCTATCTCATTCCAGAGTTCAATAGTAGAGTTCTAAATTGCTTGGAAAATTGGCTGTTTTCTTTAGGGGGAAAAACATTTTAAGTTTTCCATATGCTATTTCAAAAAAGTCTGACAAACTTGTTTGCGCCAAATAATCCTTGACCTCAGGACTGAAATGGATGGGACTGTTCAAGCCATGGGTACTACTCAGTATGTCCTCGTAAATCTTTAGAGTGAGATTGTGTCTGAAGGAGGCAGCCAACTCTGAGGGGTAACATCTAACTTTAAAATCAGGAAATTTGAGCAATACCTTTTATAGATTTACTCTGCTCTCCCCTGGGGTACGTTATACCACCATTTACACTGTCCACTGCTGCTGCTGGGTACTTTTATAACGCATGTGGAGGCAGTAATTCCTGCTCAGTGAATATACGTTCAAAACTGTAAAACAATTTGGAAAAAAAAAAAAAAAGCATGTTTTGCTCTCTCAGTCTTCCAACAAATACATTTTGTCTACGACATTTGGAGAAAGCTCCTCCTCTTGTGCTTTTGTCTCTCATGAGCCACTGCAGCTTAATAAACTTCCACAGAAACTCATAATAGCAGGGAGAATGGAGAGGTGTTTCAAGTATAGCTGAGCAGAACATGCTGTGAATGACAACACTGCCTCTATAGCTTCTCTCCTAGAACCTTCCCTAAAATTTAGGGATTAGATTCTCAGCTGAACAAAAACCAGGCACTTAGATGAGGACACCTGGAATATCAGAGGCTGCCTGGTGCAGCATGTCGCTGGTGTTCCTCTGCCCACTCCTCTCTTTCATGGATGGCCAGAATTAGAGAAAAGCAAAAAGGACCTCAACACGAGGGAAACAGCAAGGGGAGGGTTCTTTCCTTGGTTAATAGGGTATGATGCTTTAATTCATGCTTGCAATATATTTGAAACTTCTCAGTAGAAGAAGTTATCATGAAAAAAAGGTAAGGCAATAGAAGACTGAAAAATCCCACAGTAGACAAGATGGATCATCCTGATGTTTTACTTCTGGCTTGGGCCATAATCCTCTTTCCCTTTGAGTCAAAGCCACACTCCCGCTAACAACAGGATTTTGCTTGGAGACCATCATCCAYTTTGGAAGAGATAGCTCTGAAGCACTCAGTTGCACTGCCCTACAGTGCACTTCGTGCCAAAAACAAACTCTTTCTTACTAGATTTTTTGAAAACCTGGGATATCACAAGCCTATGAAAAGATATTTAATATTTAATTATGTTTAATGATGTTTAATTATTTAATTTATGATAAAACACTAGAAGCAGGATATTTTCTACTTAGGCTATTTTTAGAATTCAGCATCTGGAGTATTTGAAAATCTGAGAGTAGCGTAGAATAACAAAGAGAAGAAAAATGGAATAGGTGATTCAGTGCAATAATTAAAGATTCGGTGTCAGCAATGGTTTTTTTTTTTTTTCCATAAAGCCTGCAATAGGCTAAGCACAGAATCATGAGACCAATCAGAAAGATTCAGTAATGAGAGAAATTCCAAAATGAGGCAGATTAATGTCTTCGGGGAATGTCAGAACCCTGACACCAGCTGTTTGAACTGGTTATCTTCTTTGGCATCGTCTGAGGCCTGGCAGGCATCCATCAGAGCAAAATCTAGAGCTCCTACCTTGACCACAGTCTAACACTATTTCTCCCAGTAGACCTTTCAGAAAGGGTCATTATTCAAAGTTTCAATAAGACAGTCACCCTGCTACTTTCATGTTGAAACAAAACTTATAGTGATTTTTTAAAATGATTTCTTTAGTATTTTAAAATAACCGAAACATGACAATAACTCTATTAAAGAATTTCTTAGTAGTCATGTTGGAATGGAACACCATGATGTGAAATACACTACCAAGGATTCAGCAGACAAAATCCTAGTTGATTTTTTAATACAAATCTAAGAAGTTTTGAATCTTTTGGTACTTTACTCTCCCTAGAAGCTCATCAACAGATGAGAGACAAACCATGTGCTCAAAAATAGATAATGCGAGTTAGACTGCCTTCAAAATAGAGTCAGTGAAAGTACACGTTTCATGGATCATGTAATTCAAAATAATTGTTGCTTGAACTACTGAAAATGAGTATGTGCTTAAGCAGCAGTTATACGTGTTGGCACACAAAGTTTGCTTTGGCTAACATGCTTTACCTTAATAAGATGGGTGGAAGGCAGTGGGTATAATCCAAAGCATGTTATGATTATAAGAGGCTTGTACTTTTTTTTTTTTTTTTTTTTTAATGAAATGTGTATTTTTAAAGTTTGGCTGTTTCTTACCTCTGTTTTTCCGCTCCCTGCTGATTTAAGGCCTAACTTTTACAGGCAGCCGTCTGTTGTTTCTGAAACAATGCTGAGCTTGCAGCTTTATTTTGATTCTGAGGMCTAACTGGTTTTAAGACGGAATTTAACCAGTTCTGAGAAGAACTACATGTGAATCACTGCACAGCAGTCAGGGAAACTATGGGCTGGAGTCCAGGAATTCCTCTCAATCCCATGTCTGCAGTTCAAGCAAAAAGAATGGCTACAATGATTTCTTTTACCTGAGGTATGGTTTTTCTTAAAGAAAGAAATCTGCATATATTATCAAAAGTATTTCAGTGCAAGGAAAATAGTTGTCTGAATTAATGCAGACAGGCAGTTGCTACTACTACATGTTTGGAATTTTTATTTCCCTCATCCCCAAATATACTAAAAACATTTATTCACAACAAAGTTAGAACATCTGCAAAGGCTGTGTCTTCTCAAAGATTATATTCTGCTGCTGCAAAACATGGGGAGGGTTGGATTGATGGTCTGTTTTTGACATCTTGACAAAGACAATTTTTCCTGGTAAACTATTAGCTGTGTCCCACACTATACACTTCACTCACTCAAGGCTGACTTTATGTAACTTGGAAGTTTATCACTAGCAGCTACTTTTAAGGTTAGTTATTTCAACATTATATGTTACCTTGTAAAGCCTTGCCTTACACTAGGATTTCAGAAAAAAATATTTCTCTGAAAACAACACAGTGGTAGTAGAGGCAGCATGGACAGAAATGTTCATTTTTTCCCTTAATTTCAGCAGAAATCAACTCTGTTAGGTTCTCAGAAAATGCCTCCATCGTTTAGTACCTCTTCAAAGGTTAGTAGGATAGAGTTCAAAAAAGCCACTAACACTTGATTTCCTGAGAGCGCTCCAAGCACGCTACAAACCAGTATGTCAGTAACCCTGTGGCCACCAACAGGATGCTGTGAAGAAGCTGGTGGTGGGAAAAGCTGAGGGCAGATGACAGCTGGGAGTGAGAGCAACCTCACTCTTGTGACGGAATTTCCAACTATGCTTTTGCCCACTCTGTGAACTACCAAAATTTTATACTGACAGTAAATAAAAAAATTAAAATTAAAATTAAAAAAAAATTTAAACTAAAATTAAAAAAAAAATTGACCACACTGCTTGAGGTCATACACTTACTCAAACTCTTTTTTACTTTAAGTGTATGACCTCAAGCAGTGTGACACTGTGTGATATTACTAACAATCTGAAGACTGCAAAGCAATCCTATCCAGTGCTGAAAGTCACATCATCTTGAAATTKAGCATAGGTATAAAACCACCTTAAAATAAAATCACAGTAAGGAACATCCATCCCTCTTCATCATACAAAATACACGCTAGAGAATCCAATGGGATTTCAAATCAAAGTTTTACTCAAGCCAAATAAATTCACATAGTATGTACCTGCAGAAGGAGTCTCTCAAACGCCAGGAAGTTGTCCCATTTGGAATTCTGTGGGTGTTTCAAAGTCTGGACCGCRGCCAGCACAAGCTGTAGAAGACCACAGTGGTTCTCCAGAGCTTTGAAATTGTTTTTGAAAAGCTGGATGTATGAGCTGAGCTGTTCTGGGGTGACTCTACCTGTGAAAAGAAAAACACGATATAGTAATCTGAGGTGACAAATTCTCATAATGGCACATACGAAACAAGATTTTAAGATGTCAGTGGATCAGTTCGACAGGGCTTTTCCTTTAAAGGGCTCTTCATTATGGGCCTTCACTGCAATCATTGTGCGTTTCAGGCTTCAGCAACAGGTCAGGATGAAGATTTGCTTCACCCAGAACTGGGGCTTAAGGTAGTTAGCATGGCAGGTATTTCACAATACACAACAGATGACGATGGAAAGAGTAGAAACATGTTTGTTTCCAAACAGAGAGATCTGTTTAAGCAAGGCAAAATACTTCAGTATTTTCTCCACACAGTGGCTGATCTTTCTATTTTTGTCAAAGCCCCAAGGGGAAATTGGTGAACCTTCTATCTCATACCAAACCTACAACCTTCAGCCACTTGGTGATGGCAGAGGGGAGGAAGGAGTRGAGACAAGGAAGAGAGCACAAGACAGAGTGCCAACATCAGCCATTCAAGGAGGTCTCTTCTGGAGCAGTTCTTGAAAAGGACACATCCAAGGCTCATTCATCACTTGTGATTTCCACTCGTTATTTGAAAGAAGAAAACTCATTAGCTGGTAATCACTGTTTAATAGAAGGACATAGGGAAAAAGCCAACCAGGCCATACAAACAATACTGAATTAGCGATTATTGCACTCAGCATCAAAGCACGATCTACACTGTGCAGCAGAGTTATGTTTGGGAAGTAGCCTTACATCTTTTTCAGGAAGAAAGGGACATTCAGACCTCTGCTTGTTCAGAGTCTTAGAAGAAAGCCTATAATGTCTCAGCTATCCTAAGAAAATCACCACAGGTGATCATACATAGCCTCAACATTCAAGGAAAAACAGCGTCGAAACGGTGTCCAAGTGCAAGCCTAGACTGAGATAAAACAAATCCRGGGCTGCTTTGCTCTTCAGTGGCTGTCACCAGGAACAAGTCGTCTTCCTCAAGAGAACCAGCCCTAAAGAATGGGTGCACGTGAGATAGAGCAAGCAGAATCCTTCATCCTAAACCCAACAAGCTTTCGCGCCAGGAAGCCAGAACAGAGCTGAATCAGTGCTAGGCATTTTATGACTTGCACCACTCTGATCATCCTACTTGGTATTTCTCCATCAAGGAAAGATCTCTGCATTTGGTTATCTCATTAGCTTACAAGGCTCTCCACCTGCCTCTATCCTTTCAGACTGTACAAATGCTTAATAGTTGCTTCCAACAAGCGAATAAATATCCAAAGCACTTCCTCTTAATTCCAGTGATACCAACGGTGGTCTTCAGAAGAACATCTAGAATAGGGAAAGCTGCTAAACAAAACAAAACCACACAAGCTCTTTCTGTGTATTTTAATGGAAAGTATCAAACCGAAGAGTCAGCACATGAACACAGAAATCAAGCTGACACCCCTCAGTAGGCCGGAGAGCTGACAAAAGCCTTCCTCGGTTAGTCCACGTAGGCTAAAACAGCAACCACAGCCATGTGTGTTTTTAGACTAAACACCAGGGCTTTCACTTGTGTTTTATTTCTTTTAAAGCTGYGTCAGGCAGATTTACATGGCGATTTGAAGCTGTCAGCCCAGGAGGCCTTGCGGCATTCCTTAAATAATGGCCACATTATTACCTTTAGCAACCATGATGTATAGTTGTAYGTTCAAAATATAACTGGCTTCAATTGAGAAAACATTACGTTTCCAGGCCCTCCTTTAAATGTAACAGTCAAATGGGAGGGCTTTCTAGACTTCTGATTTCAATTTAGAAAAATAATTTTTCAAGTGTTTTTTTTTTTCTCCCTATATTGTCTCTTGTGAAAGTGAATCCAGATGCATCACGGGATCAGTCTGAGATCCATTCAGCTCCATTTTAGATAAACAATGAAAATCTTTCCCAGACTCAGAGCAGTACCAAAGAAAAAGTCCAACACGTGTAAATAAGGGGGTGAAATCCTGACCTTGGTAAGTCTCTAACAAAAATTCCATTGGCATTAGAGGAGCCAGGACTTCCTCTGTAATATYTGCAATATCCATGGAACAACTCGGACCCAGGATTCAACAGCTCTTTTCTATACAGATACTTCCCCGGATAGCATCCTGATAAACTGTTCCAGCAGCAGAYGGGGAATGGAAGGTAGGAAGGGACTGGTGGTACACATCAAATAAATGCCTTTTCCAGAGGCCTAAATCCTCCTCGTCTTCCCTGCTGCTTACTCACAGGCGGAGATTTCAGCACAAAGCCAATAACATTTTAAATTTAATTTAATCCCAAGCCCACCAACYATTTTTTTCCTTCTTTTTATTTTTAAAACCCTTCTACTGTTTTAAGTCCTCCTATGTTGCAAAGTAGCCCAGAGGCTAGATAGATAGATAGATATTGAAAGGAGCCGGACCACAGCATCAAGGTACGGCAGCTGTTGCTTTGCTCCTCTGAAGCAAAGCAAGAGATTTGCAGACAGAATCATGGTTATATAAGAAACCTGAGGGATCAGGTATTGAGCTCAGGATTGAAGAGCCTGTTGGAGCACGAAACAGGGAGCGCGATGCAGTGACGGAGCAGTGCTGTGTTTCACCATCTAAGAGATGGAGAAGAAAAAAGGGAAGAGAGAACACGGAGCAAATGGGGGCTAGTTGGGTCAAAATCACTTTGCAAAGGGATGATAAAAGCAATTCTGCAAGACTAATGCTAGAATATTGCAAAAACCTCAAGTGGTACCTATATACAGAGAGGAATATCTAAAATACTAGTAAAATCCTGAAAACCGTGTTGTGAGACAGAAYATTAACTTCCAAGCTACAGAGGAAAAGCAACAAAAAAGACTATTTGGATCCAAACAACTCTGTGGCTTTCTGAAATCTGGATTTAACTAGTCGTCGATCATTTTGAAAATAATTTTGAAAAGAGTTTGGAATAAGCAGATGGTCCCTCCCCCACCTCCAAACAGAAAAGCTACTGAGCAACAAATAGAGCCAATTTTATACAGTAGAAAATACAGGGTGGGGGGAAAGGTTGATTCAGAACTTGTAAAGAAATCGAATAACAACAGAAAACATTATGTAGATATAAGAACAACTAAGAAAATGCATTTCTGGCACCAAAGATGGTCAAAACCCAAGCAATCAGAACAAAAAATAAAAGAAGAAGAAAAGGTTCAAGTCAGATGAACTGGATATTCTGAAACGAGTTACACAGACCAGATGGTCAGGGGTAATACTAAATCTACCGGAATACAATAAATGGAGTATTTATATTTAAGAAAACAAAAATAGCTACCTTTTAGTCCAGTATCAGTAGCACGAAAAGCTTCAAGACAAATATCCAAGAAATTACAGCTTACATCATGCAGAAGAGTAGGATAAAACACTTTTATTAAAAAAGATCATGTCAAACTAGTCTGATACAGAATAAAGTTTCTATACAAAGTGCATGAATTAAGTATAATGCACAGGGACTTAGCAGAGCATTAGCTATGACATAACCATACTTAAGGAGGAAAAGATTAAGATTAGAAGAATTGCAAGATGCCTAAACAATTTTAGGCATTGTAAGATGCCTCAACAATTATATTTAGGAACAATTTAGGAATTGTACAATTTAGGAATTTAGGAACAATTAGGAATTGTAAGACAAATTTAGGAATTTTTATGTAAAACAATTTAGGAATGGTAAGATGCCTAAACAGTTACACAAGAGTATATAGCAAGTAATACACAGTGGAGATCTGTTGGCCCAGAAAAYGTTTTAATTGAAGCTCCGTAAGTGTTGGTTCTGTACACACGCACAGGCACRTATATGATTGCAGGAGGGAATCTGGCACTAAGTAGTGCCAAATTTGCTGCTGTCAGAAGRTTGTGAAACATCATTAACATGGAAAAGGAGGAGAAGAACATGCAGGCACAGCTGGATTGCTTTGAGAACTGTAATAACAGAAATGGGGTGAAATCTAATAACGAGAAGTGCAAGATTATGCATTTTGGGGTGAGCAAAGAGCACGTGCTGTGTGTGAATTGGGAGCTGAAAGTGGGGAATGACGCAGGAGGGGGATATATCTAGGACCCTCATTGTAAAAAGAGCAGGTACAATCTCAGGGCGTCCCAGTTACAGTAAAAACAAAGCCACACAAATGCCTTTGTACAAGGCACCTCCCCTGAAGCACTTTATGCAGCTCCAATCACCCACACTCCAGGAGGATTAACTCAAAACTTTGCTGTATACAGGGAAAGGCAAGGAAAGAGGCACAAGGAYTATTGATCAGGAGGGCAGAACAGAAATGCCCAGCTTAACTAGCACCTCCCCTTCCCTCACTCTCCCCAAAAGCGGCAGCTTTTACAAATGCATCAAAATTAATTGTAGTAAAAGAATATGTATAAATAAAGCAAAGTTAATAAGAAATGCATTACTATAGCAAACAATCTTCCAAAAGTGAAGGCAACATTAGCAGCAAACTACCTAAAGTTGTTGTTTGTGCTTAATCAATGTATAAGAGAAATCACATAAATGCTTCTGAGACTGAACTCACTAATAATTATTTTCCCTTTGAATCTTTCATTTCCAAATAGTTAGTTTCCAAACATACTGGAAGACGCACACATTGAATTCCACCTCCAACTTTCAAGAATTCAAGACAGACTCCAAAAGAACTATACAATGCTGTAATTTTAAAACAATACAAACAGTACCTCACAYAGAAATTATCAATGGAAACACTTTATGATTTAATGATAAAAAATCATTTTATGAATTAATAATTTAAAAAAATACAGTGAAAATATTTAAAAAGATAGCAGCAGTGGAAACTAACGTCTGCAATACTGTATCTTACAGGAATAGCACTGTAAATGCTACATGCACATATGACAACCTGAAAAGGAGAAATAATTCTAAAATGATTCTACATTAATAAGGCAGATTTTGGATATTACAGGTACTGGAGGGGACACTAGTAGCAATTAATATTAAAGGTGTGTTAAAGATTTGCTTTTGTGC